CACCGTTCGCTGCCCCGGGCGCCTGCGGGGCCGTCCCCTCTCCGGGCCGAGCCCGCGGGCCACGCCACCCCGCTGCCGCTCGCCGTCGCTAGCCGGCCCCCGGCGCCGCGGCCGCCCCCCGCCCCATGGCCGCCCCCCGCCCCACGGCCGCCAGGACCACGGCGCCGGCCCGCCGAGCAGCAATGCAGCCAGTGCGCACGCGCGCCCCGCCCCGCGCATGCGCCCCGCCCCACGCATGCGCCCCGCCCGCGCGCCCCGCGCACGTGGGTCGTCCAGCAAGGACTTGGGGTCCCGGCTGGGGGCTGCGACCCAAGGGTCGGTGGGGCTGGGGCGGGAGGCTCGCGGTGGGCCATCGGCTGCCCCGACTCCGACGGCGGCCGCCTTGAAGAAGAACCTTGGTCCCCACTTACCCCGCCGCGTTGCAAGCACGTCCGCTCGCGCCCCTTGCCCCTGCCCCCTTGTCGCTCCCGCTCCCCTCCACCGCGGGCCGGGTGGGCTGGCTGCGGACCCCTGCGAGTGGTGACAGCACCCGCTTAGGATTCCATAACTGACGGGGTGTGAATCTACTTAGAAGGCACATGTTTGGGGAACCAAAACTGGTTGCGAGCAGCTGCGACAGCCGGACGCCTCCCTGCTGGTACAGAGGGAGGGGGCGGCCGGGGCGGGGCCACCGCGGGCCTCTCCCACCCCAAGCCCCCTGGCGGGGCCCTGCACACCACCTGGACTACAGGGGCTGTGGGCCTGGGATGTCAATAGGGGCCCCTCCAGGGTGACCTGCTAGCACCGTCGTCCCCCACCCCTCTCACCATCACCACCGGAGGACCCAGAGAGGAGAGAGGAAGGGGACCTAGTTACCCACTTGGTAGCTTCTGGTGGAGCTGCAGGCCTCCCCCAGGGCACCCAGAAGTCAAGTGTCCCAACAGTGTGCCAGGCTCCTGGGACTCGTCTGTGAATAAGGGGTCCCCGTAGAGGAAGCCGGGAGAGTGCCCTGTTCGGTTCTTGGTAATCTGCCTGGCTTCCCAAGTGCCCACCGTTATTCCCTGTGTAAGCGCAGGTCTCCCACACCTTGTGTCGTGTGGAGCCCTTTGCAGCAGCGTGGCCGCCAGGTTTCCCCTGCCCCCATACCTGCGGTGGTCAGGCTCCTCTGGTGGGGTCTCCCGGCCCTACGTGCAGAGACTCCAAACTCAGATGGGCACAAAACAGGACATGTCTCACTACTGGCCTGGGACCACTGGGCAGTGGGGTCATCAAGTGTAAGTAGGAAGGGGGGCAAGGGTGTCAGGAATTGGGGGGATTTCTCAAGCTCTGTAACTTCCCCATCTGGTTATTTTGGAAATCCAACCACTTCCCTAAAGTGACAGCCAGCCACACCCACAGAAGAAGCCTTTTGAGCTGTGTATTTTGGATATGATCATTAACAGAATAGTAACACTTGATCCAGCACTTACTATGTTCTAGGCACGGGGCTAGGCCTCCCAAGAACCTTCTAGAGCCGGAAGTTTATAGAGAAGGCACGAAGGAAGGAGAGCCAGCAGCCTAGTAACTAGCCAAGGTCACACGGCAGGGCCCTTCCTGTGTCCCTCTCTAAAGGGAAGTTGTGCAGGAGCCTGTAGTAATGGAAAGCCTCTGTCCACCCCAGACCTCAAGACTTCACACAGGAGGGCGCCTGGGTGGCTCAGTTGGTTAAGCGACTGCCTTTGGCTCAGGTCATGATCCTGGGAGTCCTGGGATGGAGTCCCACATCGGGCGCCCTGCTCAGCGGGGGGGTCCGCTTCTCCCTCTGACCCTCTTCCCTCTCGTGCTCTCTCTCATTCTCTCTCTCAAATAAATAAATAAAATCTTTAAAAAAAAAAAAAAAAAGACTTCACACAGGAGCGCTTCCCCATTTCAGAGATGAGAACACAGGGGCTGTGGCTTCCTTCCGCTGACCAGGTTGTGCAATTTCTCCCAGCAGGCCCTGGTCCCACCCAGCCCCCTCAAGGGCTGACCAGCAATAATGGAAACCAATGCTGGGAGGGGTTCTTTAGGGCATCCGGAAGGTTCCTAGAAGTTTTGTTTGGGCTGAGTCCAAAGGCGGAGTAGGAATAAGCCAGACCTGCTGGGGAGAGGGAAGGGCCAGCAGCAGGGACAAAGGCCAATGTGGGGGTGGGGATGGATGCCAGGCAGGCTAGTTTAGGCTGGGCTGAGGCTGTGGGTTCTGCCTCAGAGGCTCTCAGGTAACCTTTCCCAGCACTAGTATTGGTTTCTTTCTTTTTTTTTTTTTTTAAGATTTTATTTATTTATTCATGAGAGACAGAGAGAGAGAGAGAGAGGCAGAGGGAGAAGCAGGCTCCCAAGGAGCAGGGAGCCCGATGCGGGACTCGATCCCAGGACCCTGGGATCACGACCTGAGCTGAAGGCAGACGCTCAACCATCTGAGCCACCCAGGCGCCCACTAGTATTGGTTTCTTTGTATTTTTCTGAAACATGACTTGTGACTCCGGTTTTAGACGCCTCAGACCCCTAAAACCTAGATGCACCCTCTTCTGAGGATTGAATGATGGGAGATAGCAGAGTGGGTGGGGTAGGTGGTGGGAGAAGGAAGCCTGGGCCATGGAAGGTAGAGCCACATAGGCTGCCTGCTCAGAGCTGGACTCATTCAAGTAGGGTGGGTGGTCCTGGATTTTGAGTGCAGTCTGGGGGGTGGCTCCAGGGTGGAGGGGGTTCTCCTCACAGTCCTGCTCCCAGCTCACAGGGAAGTTCGCCTCAACTGTGCCTGGCAGGGGTGAGAGGAGGGTGAACAGAGGCTGCCTGGTATTCAAAAGGGGAAATGGCCAGGAGCCTGGGTGACAGGGGTGGCAGGGAGGGACCAAGGCTCCCTGTGGAGGAGGGGCGTGTCTTGGGGTATGCAGAGGTCATCTTGTCTGTCCCCAGCCTCAGGCTTCTAGCCAGCACACGTGGGACAAGTCCAGCGCCTCCTGCATGGCCATTCCTCCCCAGGGGCCAGTGTCTGGAATTGCCAATGTGGTACTGTCCTGTTTGGAGTGGTTTTGGGGGGTGGAGCGGAGCAGCCCCTCTTCGTGCAGGCCTGTGAAGTGCCATGCACACAGTTCAGCAGGGAACAAGACATTCGAGTGGACTGTAAGCTTCTCAGCAGGATGGTCAGTGAAGAGGGGCATGCCCTGCCGGCAGCTGGGAGGAGCCCTGTGGGGCAGAGGCAGTGCCAGCCTGGGGCGGGTGGGGTCTGGCACCTGCATACAGGGGGCTCAAGGAATTCTCACGAGGCCTCTAGGAAACGGGTGCTTTTGTTGTCTGCGGTTTTCACTCGGGGAATCCTGGGCACAGACGGGCCAAGTAACCTGCAGCGAGGACACGGTGGGTACAGTCTGGGCTTGGCTCCAGAGAGGGCTTTGACTGGACTCACAGAGCAGGCAGCAGGGGGGGTAGATGGGGGTGCTAGTTAGAAGGGAGACCCTGCCTGGACAGCACACCCCTCTGGGCAGTCCCAGGGCTGGTGGGGACAGGTTGAGGGTCAGGTGCTATGAGGGGCAGCAGGAGACCCCAGTGTCCACGTGGGGCACAACACTGAGTGGGCATGGTGGGGACAGGGCCCTAGAAGTCAGAGGCCCCAGCTGGAGTCCAGCCTCCGAGGGCTCCGTGAGCTTGGACAGTGCACCTGCAACAGGTGTGCCCCCAAGGGCAGAGCCCTGACTAGAACCAGGGGGGGCAGTGGTTGCAGGGGAGACTGGAGGAGTGGAAGGGAGCGGGGTGGGCACCCTGGAGGGGACGCGTGGCACAGAGCAAGAGCTCACTTCCCAGGACTGCCCAAGCAGCTCAGGCCAAGTGCTAAAGGGTCTGCTCAGTCCGTACAAGATTGTTTTGTGCCTGGAGGTTGAGAATCAGCAGTGTGCCCCGGCAGCGTGGGCTCCTTGCTAGATGCCCCGGCTGATGCCTGTTTGCAGGGACTGCTTTGCTGAGAAAGTGGGACAGTAATCTCAGAGCCAGCAAAGGGCCGCTCTGTGCCCTAGGCAGGGGGGCATGCTGGGTGCCAGGCTGGGGCACTGAAGGAGATAGGAACAGGTAGGCATCCGAAGACTACCGGGTTCCATTTTACCCCATGCCAACCTTGTGCCCATCCTAGGGTGTGCCCCTGGGCTGGCTTACCACCTGCTTTCTGATCCCAGAACATCCCTCCCAAGGATTCCGGCTGTCAGCCCCAGGGGCACCTCGGATGCTCTCTGGCATTTTCTTCTAAGACAACGGGCAGTGTCTTTCAGGGAGCCGTTGGGGAGGAGGCTGAAGCCAGGCAAACCCACCATTCAGGCTGCCAGTCTCCGAGGAGACAGCACCCCTGGTCCTCGCAGAAACCCACAGGAGGCCCCTGCTGCTCCATCTTGCTGATAATTGGAGAACAGAGCCTCAGGTGGCAGTACTTCCCATGGAGAGTAGTCTTCACTTATTTATGAAAAAGTACCAGCGTTTAACCCACGAAAACTACCAAGTTACGGCCGACAACCGTGTAGAGTAAGGAAGGAATGGGCCTGCCCAGGTGGAGGTCCTTTGGGAATATGCCCGTTCTGACTTGGTGGCAGATGCTTATTTTTCTTCCACACTACAGTTCTTTTTATCCAGACTGAGATAAAAACCACTCAGTCAGCAGGAGTAATGTCCTCAGACATCTTAACAGAGGGAAGAGGAAGCAAGGGGCTCAGGCCTGGAAGACAAGAGACCGGAGGGAGGGCCACTGGGGACAGTCCATGCACCCTGGGCAGTGGCCTGAGAAGTAGGGGTGGGGGGCCGGTCTGGGTGGTGGCAGAACTGCTGGGACCCGGCAGAGGACCTGACCCTCCTTTCACGGACTCTTGGTGATGGGGACCAAAGACCTGGCAGAGAAGCGGGCAGCCACGGCACTGCCCACATGACCAGATCAGGCTGACCTCACCGACTAGGGCAGCCGGGGGACGATGGCTGTCATCAGGAACCCAAACAGCCTTGCAAATAAGCAGCCACACCAAAGTCCCTCATGTCAAACTGCTTTATTACATCTTAAATAACGGTACAGTTTAATATAGTATCTATCTTGCATCCAGCCTCCTTGCAATACACTGACTTTAAAATTAAATACAAACAGTGAGGGGCACAGGGTGCAGAGAGCTCTACAGAGGTGTCGATGGGAAGGAAGGAGGGCTCGTGTTTATTCTCTCTGCCAGATCCAGGCCTCCTGCATGTCACAGCACAGTTGTGCACAGGCTGCTGCAGAAAGAGGAGAGAGGAGCCACCGCTGCTGCGGGAAGGGGGCTAGGGTGCAGGGAGGCAGCCCACGGCACTGCCGTCCAACCGCGGCTGCTGGACACCGGCCTCCGGTGGGACCCGGGAGGCCTGCGTGTTAGACAACGATCCGCCTCAGGTGCAAAAGGCTGGCTCCACGGCAAAGACAGGCCAGGAGGAATTCACAGAGGAAGGCCAGGGTCTCCATTCCCTGCCCCCACCCCCACCCCCGAATCCAACAGTGATCATTTGGAACAGGACTTTTTTTTTTTTTTTTTTTTTTTGAAAGAAAGAAAGAGTGACTGATCCCGCTGCCCAAGCGTGAAGCCTGCGGGCTGCCCTGCCCCCGACACTTGTGCAGACGTGAGTGGACAGAGCCGCAGTGGTTACACTGTAAAGAGGTTACTTCTTAAAAGAAAAAGAACATCTAAGGACTGAGTCCTATATGCGCTTTTGAGCATTTCTACAGCATGCGATTCTAAGAGTAAACCCACCCAATATGGCAAACGATCAAATTTTTTAAAATTTAACTTAGAAAGTTTGAGATCATTATTTTCAAAACATTGATTTGTACATGGTTTCATACACAAATAATTGACTGACTATCCAAGCACAGGACGGGCGCCTCTCTGGAAAACAGAGGTTCCTGACGGCTGGGGGTGGGGCGCAGGGTAGTGTTAGGCTATTATTACGAACGTCCCTCCGACTTCACAAGGAAACCCAAGGTGAGATTAAGGACTGAACTGAGAAGGTAGGGGGGACAGGTCGGGGAGCAGAAGGTGCCTAATCTGAGTTTACTATTCATCACGCATTCAAGACCATCCACAGCATGTGCTTGGTTCCTTTCCTTATTAGCATCTTCCTTTCTATGCCGTGTTTGTGCGTAACAATTATGTGACACGAGACAAAAAATAAAAAACAAGGGACTCAATTTACATCATTAACAATTTCAGAGAGGCTGCACCAGACCCTCTTCCTCTGTGTAACTACTGAACGTAAAGGAATATATTTTAAAAAGGAAATATGAATGTTTGCAGAATTCTGTTACAAACACAACCTGAAATTTAGAACTGATTACAAGATAAAATCCTCAACTTGTTTTGCATCAACAGCACAAAACAGGGTCACTGACCTAAAATTCAAATGAACTAGTGAAAAGGTGTGTCTGCCTCGCAATTACACTCAAGTTTACCTTCTGGTTAGCACGTTTATTATAGTATTTCCTTTTCAAGACAAAAAAGAAAACAAAGACAATGGTCCCGGGAGGAATGCACAATTTGTTTGAGTTTACAGCACAGAGATTCTTCTCTTCATGGGAATTGTGCTCTTGGTTTCAGCAATAAGTGAAGGAAAAGGTCTTGCCCTTTTGAAGTTCTGAGGGGGTGCAGGGCGTCCACGTTAGTAGGGGTGGATTGGAAATGCTATCACTGTAACGCTTCAAGGTTGGAATGGTCTTCCAGTCGCCACGACGTCCAGCTGCTGTTTTAAACAGAGTTTAAAGAAATGTAGAAAGAGAACATCTAAGGTCAGTGCTACTGCTCTTCCTCCCGCCCCGCCTGTCTGCTGCCAAGGGCATGTTGTTTCAGGTGGACGCAAGGCTCACCCCGCCTGTCTGCTGCCAAGGGCATGTTGTTTCAGGTGGACGCAAGGCTCACCTCACCATAATTCCAAATCAACTCAACATCAAAATTAATCTAGCAACTGTGAACTCCTCTGTGCTGTGAGAAGTACACAGAGCTATGTGCAGGGCGGGCACCTGGGCCGTTGTGTTACCTGTCCGCGTTAGTTCCAGATCTTGAGGAAGCTATCCCAGGACCCTGTCGCCACGGCCATCCCATCGTCAGTCACCCCCAGGCAGCTGACGCGGTTGTCATGCCCAGCCAAGACACCTGAGAGCAGATGAGAGCCCAGTCACTCCGCGACCCAGAGGTGCCCCACCAAGCAGTGATGTGCTGATGCTCTGCAGGGCTCGGTGCAAAACCACACGTGGAGGAAGGCCCCAAACGCTGAGGCCCAGCCCCCGCAACACCTCCCTGGCAGGAAAGGACGCCAGGAGGAAGAGAAGCCATGCTCCGCCACGGCGAGTAAAGCTCAATACACTCCTCTCTTAAAAACAATGTGAAGGCACCTACAGCAGGGGAAGTATTCAAACAAAATAAAGATATACTGGAGCACCTGGTAACATATTAAGACAGCATGATGACTAGGAACAGACATGATAAAAAGGCACAAAACACACAGTGAATAACTCAGGGCCTCTTGCACCAACTCTTGAGTATACTCATGATGGTAAGAAGCTTAAATAAGGGGCGCCTGAGGGGGCTCATTCAGTTGAGCATCCGACTCTTGATTTCCACTCAGGTCATCATCACAGGGTCATGAGATCGAACCCTGCATCAGGCTCCCCGCTCAGTGTGGAGTCTGCTCAAGACTCTTTCTCCCTCTCCCTCTCCCACTAGTGCACTCTCTCTCTAAAATAAATAAATCTTAAAAAAAAAAAAATTCCAACCATCCCAATCTCAGGGCAATTACAACCCAAGAGTATAAGGCCATGGGCTGTTCTTCATTTGTTTATAATCCCTGAAGCCTAGCACAGGGCACAAAACACAGAGGGCTGGTGACAGATGCAAGAGGGGGAGGGCCAATGGGATGTCACACGGTAACCCCACGCTGAACCCACAGAGAGACAAAAGCCCCTGTTGACACTCAGCGTCTGTGCTTGGATAATTATCAGCCCGAACACTCGATGTCCGTCCAGAAGAGTCTGATGGCTAACTTCAGAGAACTCCTGTCTCTTTCCTACACTCCTTAGTTTCACAGCTGAGTAAAGAGAGAGTCTCAGCTGGACGGAACAGTGTTTTCCGCCGTGGCACTGTGACCGGGGAACTGTCGGGGCAGAGGCAGTGGGGGCAGGGGGTCTGCGAGAGGGAGCAGGGGGAGCAGGAGGGGAGCTCAGCCCAGGGCGGGAAAAGATCCATCGGAAAGTGGGAGGTCAAGGAAAGAACCCCAGGAGACCCCCAGTCATGCTCCATTCTTCCCCCTGCCAAGGTACAGAGTTGAAAGATTCTGAAAGTGTCAATTCAATTCAGTTGCCTGTCTGTGTTTAATACAGGAAGTTTCTCATCTTTTGTACAAGTTGTGTTTTATTATTATTTTTTAAGATTTTTATTTTTGGGGCGCCTGGATGGCTCAGCCAGGTAAGCATCCGACTCTTGGTTTTGGCTCAGGTCACGATCTCACGGTGGTGAGACTGAGCCCCATGTCTGCCTCCACACTTTGTGGGTAAGTCCGCTTCTCTCTCTCTCTCTCTCTGTCCCCTCCCCCTGCTCGTGCTCTCTCTAAAATAAATAAATCTTAAAAAAATATATATATATACACTCTCTACACCCAGTGTGGGGCTTGAACTAACAACCCTGAGATCAAGAGTCATACGCTTCACCCAGTGAGCCAACCAGACGTCCCTGTACAAGCTGTGGGTTTTTTTTGTTGTTGTTTTTTTAATTTCATTTTATTTTTTATTTATTTGAGGGAGAGAGAGCATGAGAGGGAGGAGGGTCAGAGGGAGAAGCAGACTCCCTGCCGAGCAGGGAGCCCGATGTGGGACTCGATCCTGGGACTCCAGGATCATGACCCGAGCCGAAGGCAGTTGCTTAACCAACTGAGCCACCCAGGCGCCCCCAAGGTGTGTTTTAATGCACTTGACAACCACACCCTTGCCCTCAATGTGTGAACTTCAGACTTTATACTTCACTGGGCACACCTGCCCAAGCCTGTGCCCCACACTTAGATGATACAGTTCCACCACATACAGCCAGAGGGGAGAGAAGGCAAAGTGAGGGCCTTGAAGACCCAGCAGTTCGCCTTGTCCTGCCCACTGCGGCTGTCCATGTGCACCTCACACGGTGCGTGCAAGGAGAACTTCTGGTGCTAAGGAAGCCCGTGTGCCCTGAGAGCCCGGGTACGGATGCCCTGGCCTGTCCCCCATCCCTCCGCCAGGCCATGCCGCGGGGCAGGCAGGTGTACTCAGGCACGGCACATGTTTCTTAGCGGCACGACGGGCACAAACCTAAACATTTCAGCCTCGGTGCATCATGTCCATCCTCAAAAGTGCTACCTGAACATAAGGAGGCCCGGGAAGGCCCAGCAAACACCTACCTGCCCTGTCGGCCTTGAGTGCGTCCCACACATTGCAGTTGAAGTCATCGTACCCTGCGAGGAGGAGGCGCCCACTCTTGGAGAAAGACACCGAGGTGATCCCGCAGATGATGTTGTCATGGGAGTAAGTCATGAGCTCCTGGTCCGCCCGAAGGTCGAACAGCCTGCAGGTGGCATCATCCGAGCCAGTGGCAAATGCGTTGCCATTTGGAAAGAACTAGAAAAGCAAGTGAAGAGAGTATGCAAATGCACAGAGAAGTACTGGAAATGGGACTGCCCGACAGCAGGGCTGCCGCTGCCACAGGAGGGAAAGGTCAGCAGGGGCTGGGCTCGGGCAGCCAGCGGGTCGGAGCGGCAGCCACCCCGGGCACCCTGACCTGAGGGCATCAGTACTGGGGCAGCCACAGCCACTGTCGTCCCCAGAGTAGACTTCATTTCATGACTGTTTTCCAGGGGATCAGGAAGAGTATGGTCACCCCTGAGGGCCGCCAGCAGCCAGACAAGCCTCATGGAGAAGGGACCCCCAGCCCCAACCAACCAGATACCACCCTTCACATCTTCTCGCAAGAGCCCCTCACGTCAGGGTGACGAGGCAAAGGGAAGGCTCCTTTTGCTGGCTGTGCCCCAGCCACAGGGAGGGGCTGAGGGTGCAAGGTTCCTGCTCACAGCTCAGCCTTGGCCTCCTGCTCCGAAGAGGCTGTGCTGACTGGCTTAGCTACTGCCTCACTGCCCCCCAGCTGGAGGGAAGCCGGTCCCAATCCCTGGCTTGCCCCGGGGCTGGGAGCAGGTACCTGCACACAACAGGCCCATCCCCAACATCTGTGAGGTGAACAGTTAGCACAGAATTAGCTGGTGTCACGAGGACAGACTGCATCACAGCTAAGTTTTCCATAGGAGTTTTTGTGAAATAGGTTATAGTTGCATACAAAAGACAGAACATCCAACCCGAACACATTTTAAAACTTGATGTGTTCAGCAGCATACAAGAAGTAATCTAACTTGGGTGCGTGGGTGGCTCAGTTGTTAAGTGTCTGCCTTCAGCTCAGGTCATGATCCCAGGGTCCTGGGATCGAGTCCCGCATCGGGCTCCCTGCTCCTTGGGAACCTGCTTCTCCCTCTGCCTCTCTCTCTCTCTCTGTCTCTCATGAATAAGTAAATAAAAATCTTAAAAAAAAAAAAAAAGAAGTAATCTAACTTGCTGATGGCTGGCAAAGGCCCCCAAACCCACATCTTCACCCCCTACTCACGCAGATGGCATTGATGTCAGACTCATGGCCAGTGAAAGTTTGCCGGCACATCCCTTCTCGCACATCCCAGAGTTTGGCTGAAGCATCACAAGCACCAGAAACAAACAGTCTGGTGTCGGGAGCAAGAGAAAGGCTCATAACATCCCCAGTGTGTCCAGTGAACGTGGTCGTCTGCTGGCCGGTCTCGATGTCCCACAGAGCACTGCAGCAGGAACACACGACAAGCAGTCACCTCACTTTGTCAGGCAACCAGTCAGGGACTGTCCTTCAAACCATCTAGGACCATAGCAAACCTCTGCGCTTTTTTGCCTGACAATTCTAAATTTTGTAATGTGACTGTGTTTGGAAGGGAAACAAAGCAAACAAACAAAATACAAGATGAGAATGTGCCACGGGCTTCGGAGTAACCGTTATCTCTATGCCAACTCAGACACCAACCAAGAGGAAGCCAGTGAGCTGCACTCTGTGTGGGTTTGCAAGGAGCAGCAGGGAGCTCCTGGAGGTGTCCCAGAGGGGGCAGAGAACGTGAGTCTACTGTTGTGGCTCCGTGGCCTCTGGCATGCCAAGGCCAGAGGCTAGGACACGGAGACACCACCAGGTAAACAAATGGCTCAGAGCAAGGCTGAGACCCCACGGCCCTCCCCTGGAGCCACATGTGGGAGAGTGAGTGGCGAGTGCGCCATATGGTGGCAGCCCTGAGTTTGGTGCCCCGTGGTGTCAGCGTGAGCGGCTACTGACAGGTGTCAGGTAAGATGCGGACAGAGCTATGAGTGGGGCACACGCTGTTGCTGCGCTTCAGACGCTAGGAGGCGTCAACACTGCAAACTGCTCAGTTCATCCCAGCCTCCCAGGAAATCTGGCTCAGGCGCAAACACCGTTTACACCTACAGTGGGTAGAGGGCTTCCTTGCTCAGGGCCTGGGGGACTACAGGGAGGAAATGAGGTGTGCCCAGGACTCCGAAAAACACTTATTCATAAATGAAAAAGCTTTAAAAAATACCTTCTAATAAAGAAATTCTTCCCAAAACTGACAGTCTAGAATATACACCTTTTGTGAACTTACACAGTTTATACAAAAAGGACGCATTGTAGACCAGGACAGCTAGATATGGGAGTCAGGCCCTGGCACAGGGCATTCCACCACATCATGCCTCAAAGACCAGAAAAGCCCCCAGGACAGTTTAAGTCTAAAATGACTCATAAAATACCTATCTGAACCAAACAAAACAATGTAGAAACCCTGAAGTCAAACCTCTAGCCTCAGCAGATGGCTTACTCTTTTAAACAGGAAACTATTAAAAATGTGTTCTGCATCCAAAACCAACCAAGCAACCAAGCAACCAACCAACCTATCTGATCATTTAAACTGCACGCCCTGGGGCCAAAAATGAAAACGTTCTAGAGATTGTGTAAGTGGGCTTCTAAATCTAAGTAAGAGAACAGCTTGAACTCAGAAGTCTGACACAATCCACTTGCAATTGTGACCCCTGCTCCTTCTGAGCCCTGCTGGGTCCACATGGCTCGGCGCTCTACTGAGGGGGATGCAAGCACACCCGCTCCCCCAGGGGGCTGCTGAGTGTCGCCCAGCCAGGGAGTATGTGCAGGGGAAAGAAAAGCAGGCATTTCTTGTGCAGCTGCAGCTTCAACGTCTATGAGTCAGTTCTTCCTTGTTCAAAATTAAACTTTTGAGCTTTAAAATCTGTAGAGTAAAATGAACTCACTCATCACTCACGCACTTGTGTTTGACGCCTCACGGCCACTTCAAACTAATAAAAGATGGCCTAATTAATGTCAAGAATCTTATTTCCTACACATCTAAGGCGAGCAGTGTGAGAAAGGCATGGCGCTCAGATGCTCACCAGGTGGTGTCCCCAGAGCTGGTGACGATCTGATTGTCATCCAGGAAGCGGCAGCAGGACAGGTAACCTGGAAAACAGACACAGATGATGACCCTGATATGCAAGCCCCACCCCACCCCATCCCACCCTGATTCTAAGGTCCTGTAAATAGAAAAACACACTGGCGGGATGACTGCACCTCGAAGTCCCACATGTAGGTGAAGACCACTGCCTTGTCAGCAACCCCAGCCGCGGCCTCACACGCACGCAGTAACGAATAAAGGAGGCAGCACAGGCACTGCTGACAGCCCACAGGCCGGGAGGCGTGCGACCCAGGACAAACGGGAGGTGGCGAGCAACCTGTCCTGCACACCGGCAAACACTGCGCAGGTGCAAGGAACACACTCCATCTCTGCTCGTCTTATCCACGTGTGGGGACAGAGGTTCCCTTCCCATTCACACACCCACTCATCCCACAACAACGTACCCCAGCGCATGGAACATATCCGTGATCAGAGGAGCGCTTTATTCCCTCCCGGAGTTCACACTCCAGCGGGGAGAGGGAGTGTGCACACGTGAGGACGGGGAGAGGGTGGTCTGCAGAGGCCTCCTGGGCCCTCCAGGAAGGCATGGTCAGGGCTGGGATTGGGGTGCCAAGCGGAGCAATGGATTTGTTTTCTATAGGATGCTACAGTAGTCCAGGTGGCATGGAAACAGTCGTGTGCTGCCTCAGTACCCACCCTGCCGAGCGTGTGGAGCCAAGACTGGGCTGCTGAGGGTGGGACATACTGAGATCCCTAACCTTGATCAACTTTTCGTATGAGGAAAGGTAAAACAAAAAACCGATTTTGCAGTACCTATACATTACGATTTCTACTTAATTAGCTGTTTATCACGGTTTGTAATTTTGTTCCACTGTAAGTGACCCTAAAAACTGGAAATGCAGGGTAAACCAATCTATCCCCGGGAGGAGTGTGCCCAGTGAGTGGGCTGGCCAGACGTCCGACTGAAGGGGCAGCAACACTGCCTCTCTTGAGAGGACGGGACGCCCCTGCCAGATCGGCCCCGACACCTTTCTTCCTGGTCCACACCGGAGCTACATACGATGCTGGGCAAAACAGGGTAATAAAAACAAAATCCACACAAGGAAGAAAACCACAGAAGGGTTTTGGTATGGAAAGTATAAGAATACAGGGAAGGGGTGCCTGGGTGGCTCAGATGGTTAAGCGGCTGCCTTCGGCTCAGGTCGTGGTCCCAGGGTCCTGGGATCGAGTCCTGCATCAGGCTCCCTGCTCAGTGGGGAGCCTGCTTCTCCCTCTGCCTCTGGCCTCTCTCTCTCATGAATAAATAAAACATTGAAAGAAAAAAGAATATAGGGAAAACAGAGCATTTATCTAAGAAATATTATCAAAATATTTAGGGATGACGATTTTTAAATATTATCTATGTGCCTAGAAAAGGATGTATGGTCAAGCACTTCCCAGAGCCCAGGTCATGTCCATCCATAGGGACACTAGGGAGCCCAGGGGTGAATCAATGCCCAGCTAGGTGAGGAGTGGCCTGTGCTGAGAGATCACCTGATACCAAATCCACACTGCGCCTGACCCGTGGCCCCCACCCGCTCTGTGGACCCCCAGGTCCTGGGTCTAGAGAGACTGCTGAAGCTCCGGCTCAAGTTCCTCTCCAAGAACAGCATTTGCTTCCTGGTGCATCTGACATTACTCCAGTCAACTCACATACCCCTCCTTCCCAGAAGCCAATGCTGGGTGTCCAACCACATCCCGCGAGGTATCCAGCGGGCCCTCCACTGACCCTCACGCTGCACCATCTTAGCCTCAGCCTGTCTGACTCAGGGGTGCAGGGAAGGCAGGACAGGAGAGTCGTGGAGACTCCAGCCGGTGCTGGAAGGCCAGGCAAGACACACCTAGGTCAATGCCCCAAAGAAACATGATCTCCAAGATGGTCTCTGTCCACCTTGTGCACCACGCAGGTTGTGGACACTAAGACCCATCAGGTGAAGAGGAGGGGCAGGGTAGTCTCCCCTCTCTAAGTCCTAAAGGCCTGCTGGACAGTGTTCATGTGGAGGGAGGCGGGAGGCACTGTTAGGGAGGGTGGCCTTCCACATTCATTCCCTAACTTTCCATAGTTGGAGCTTCCAAAATACATATACAAATACTACTTTTAATTAAAGTCAGGGCTGCCTGCTCACAATCTTGTAACTCATTTCTTGGTCCTCTTTATATTTTGTACGTTGAGAGACAAAAAACAGTAACCAGGGGGCACCTGGGTGGCTCAGTCAGCTAAGCATCTGCCTTCAGCTCAGGTCATGAACCCGGGGTCCTGGGATCCAGGCTCCCTGCTTAGCGGGGAGCCTGCTTCTCCCTCTCCCTCGGCCCCTCTCCCCGCTCACTCTCTCAAATAAATAAAATCTTATAAACAAAAATAAAGGGATATCCTTAAAAAACAGAACAAAACAATAACTAGGTAGATATTTTATATATACCTATATCTTTTTAGATATTTTATACGTATCTATATCTTTTTAGATGCTATATGTATATATATATTTTAAAGACTTTATTTATTTGAGAGGAAGTGAAAGCAAAGGAGATCACAGAGGGAGAGGGAGAAACAAACTCACCACAGAGTGGAGAGACCAATGTGGGGCTCGAACCCAGGACCCTGAGATCATGACCTGAACCGAAGGCAGAAGCTTCACCGACTGAGCCACGCAGGCGCCCCTAGATACTATATTTTTATGTTTTTTTCTTCCAGACAGAAAGCGTAGAAACCACCTTGTAAATGGCACTAACGGACAAGTGCTGCGCCATCAATGTTCAAGAGCACTGGGCTGGGGCCCACCAACACTAACACGGGGTCACGTGGCCTGTGAGCATGGCGGACGGCACCAGGCCAGCCTCCAGAAGGGCCCAACTGCGCTCCATATGCTCCGAGACCAGCACAGCTTCACAGGAGCCATCGGGCTGGACACAGTCAGTGGCTTCAGAATGTAGGCTTTGAGGGGCGCCTGGGTAGCTCAGTAGGTTAAAGCAGCGGACTCCTGATTTTGGCTCAGGTCACGATCTCAGGATAGAGGGCTCTGTGCTGGGTGGCTAGTCTGCTTGAGATTTTCCGGCTGCCCCTCCCCCCACCCTTGCTTTCGTGTGCTCTCTCAAAAAAGAAAAAAAGAAAAAGAAAGAAAAAAGAATGTGGGCTCTGAAATCAGAAATACATGGCTCAATTCTCGCAGTGGTTTAACCAGCACTGAGTTCTCTGATGAGCTGCAGTCTCCCCAGTAACTGGGGACGGTCCCAGGAGAGCTATCTGTGCACTCAAGAAGCTTGGAAGAGTCGGCGGCAGTTACTGAAGAACGAATAAACTACCTGGGAGGGCTGTGTTTGTGTAGACACGTGTATATATGTGCGTACAGTGGGGTTACCTCAGGTGAAGATAGCCCCACCAGGTGTGTGTGTGTTTGTGTATGTGGGGTTTGCCCCAAGTTTGGAGGTGTGCTACATAGCGGCCAGCCAGTGGTGCTGCTGTCTTTTGGGAGCCTATAGAGGGGCTGGGAAAACAGATCCCAACAAGCATGGGTGCTGAGTCTGGAGGTGCACTGGCATGGGGTGTCCCTATGCACCTCACAGAGACCATGGATGACAGTGTGAGGACATGCTGGGGACAGCATGGTGCAGGGACAAGGCTGCCACAGTCCAGAGACAGGAGGCTTGAAACAGGCAGTGCAGAGAGCAGGTGCTTGGGTCAAGGACCAGGGGGGAGATCAGGGAGTGCTATCAGCTGAGGCCTGGAGGACAGAGGCAGGACATCCTGACAGAGCATGTTGCCTGGATGGGAATCTGTTGCCAGAGAAGCAAATATACTTACTTCTGAGTCTGGAGACGCTACTAATCCAACAGAGCAAAGCCAAGAGCACCCATGTGGGCAGAAGAGTGACTCGTGTGGCACCCCCGCCCCAAGACCAAAAGGCCCAGCTAAGGTAAGTTATCCCAAGAAAATGGCTGTGAGCTTGAGGGGTCATTCACCTACACGAATGTTCACACTACTGACAAACTGGAAACCATCCAGACATCCAGCAATAGGAACACAACAGCACGTAATGGAACTCTCTCAACTCTTTAGAAACATCATAGTTCTGGGTGAGATTATAGGTTCAAAACACAAAGGAAGCGAATTTAAAGTTATTCCCCCAAATTTCAACAGTGAGCACATGGTGGTGGTTTAGGCCAGCCCGGCCCTAGAGCCCACCAGGGCACCAGGTTGGGTGCTCTGGCTAAGTCGAAGCTGGAGTCAGAGACACAAGGCTCCGCTGTGGGTGCCCACTAGGCCGGTGCCTGCACAGCGTCCGCTGCAGCTTCCGCTCTGGGAGGGAGCGCGTTGCAGCCCAGAGCTGGAGGGAAAGCCACCTGCCCCACTCTGCGGTGCGCATGATAGCTGGCGAGCACAGACGGTGAGAGCACACTGTTCACAGAGTGTGGTGGAAAGGGAAAAAAAGACAGGATGAAGTAACTTGAAGATGTGAGAGTGAGGAAGTGCCTAAGAAGGGTTTTATTAAGAGTTAGGAGAGGGCGCCTGGGTGGCTCAGTTGGCTGGGCGGCTGCCTTCGGCTCGGGGCATGATCTTGGAGTCCTGGGATCGAGTCCCACATCAGGCTCCCTGCTCTGAGGGAAGCCTGCTTCTCCCTCTGCCACTCCCCCTGCTTGTGTTCCTTCTCTCGCTGTCAATCTCTCTGTCAAATAATAAATAAAAATCTTTTAAAATAAATAAATAAATAAAAGTTAAGAGAGTTTACAGTCCCCAAAGAGAGACGAACTTATAAAACGTTAATGGTAGAAGATGGAATCAGATGAAAACAAAAACAGACTAGAAACACCTTCAGATGCATTCACAAGGCTGTGTGGTCTCGTCTTCTCAGAGCTCAGGGTTTTGGGCAGTTTGCCATCATCCTTGCAGGATGGTGTGAGGTCTGGATCCAGGCAATCAATCCAGGAGGCTGGATGGGGTGGGTGTGGAACCCAGCGTGGCCAGTGGCAGGCACGGCCAGGACTTGCAGCCACCCTAGGAAAAGAGGCT